GAGATTATGGGGAGGTAGAGATGACAAAGGAGATAGCCATGGAGAACAAAGAAGCAGGAGATAGTCTTTTTGATAAAGAAATTGGGTCTTTGAATGAAAAGTTTGGAAAGATAATTAAGACCCACTCTGCAAGTGTTAAGTCTAATTCTCCTGCACAACCAAAGAGGCTTTCTCACTTGCAATTGGACTCTGAATCATCCCCAAAACAAGTCCAAGAAGCAAACCTTTCCATGAGAGACCTCCTACTGGTAAGCGAAACGTTAAGAGTCCAAGAAAACTAAATTCGATTTCCTCCATGAAGAATGAGAAGAATTCTCCTTCAGGAGGGGTGAAGTTGCAGAATGGGACTGAGGACCTTGGACCATATTTACTTAAACAAACAAGGGACTTGGTTTCGTCAGGTGATAATCCTCAGAAAGCTCTTGAATTGGCTCTTCGAGCAGTAAAATCATTCGAGGATCGTGCAACTGACAAGCCCAATTTAGAATTTGTTATGTGTTTGCATGTAGTAGCAGCATTATATTGCAGATTAGGCCAGTACAGTGAGGCAATACCTGTTCTTGAGCGCTCGATTGAAATTCCTGTGATGGATGAAAGCCAAAAACATGCACTTGCTAAATTTGCAGGGTGTATGCAGTTAGGAGATACTTATGCAATGCTAGGACAGATTGAAAATTCGATACTGCTCTACACTGCAGGGTTGGAGATTCAGAGACAAGTCCTGGGTGAAAATGACCCAAGATTGGGTGAGACTTGTAGGTATGTGGCTGAAGCCCATGTGCAGGCCTTGCAATTTGATGATGCCCAGAGGCTTTGTCAGATGGCTCTTGACATTCACAGAGAGCATGGCTCCCCTGCTTCTCCTGAAGAAGCAGCAGATAGGAGACTTATGGGACTGATTTGTGACTCCAAAGGAGATTATGAAGGTGCTCTTGAACATTATGTTTTAGCAAGCATGGCCATGGCTGCCAATGGCCAGGAAGCTGATGTTGCTTTCATTGATTGCAACATTGGTGATGCATATTTATCGTTGGCTCGATATGATGAGGCTATTTTTGCTTATCAAAAAGCACTAACCGCGTTTAAGTCAACCAAGGGAGAGAATCATTCATCCGTTGCTTCGGTGTTTGTTCGATTGGCTGATTTGTACAACAAGATTGGAAAATTCAGGGAATCGAAATCGTACTGTGAAAATGCATTTCGTATTTATTTGAAGCCCCTTCCCGGGAGCTCCCCTGAAGAGATTGCCAGTGGTCTTATTGACATTTCTGCTATCTACGAATCTTTGAATGAACCTGATCAGGCACTTAAATTGCTTCAGAGGGCCTTAAAGGTATATGGCAATGCACCTGGTCAACAAAGCACAATTGCAGGAATTGAGTCTCAGATGGGGGTCTTGTACTATATGCTGGGAAGTTACTCTGATTCTTATAACTCTTTCACAAGTGCAATTTCAAAGTTTCGGGCAATTGGAGAGAAGAAATCTGCTCTCTTTGGTATTGCTCTGAACCAAATGGGACTTGTCTGTGTGCAACTTTACGCAATAAACGAAGCTGCAGATCTCTTTGAAGAAGCAAGGACTATTTTGGAGACTGAATGTGGACCTTATCACCCTGACACACTAGGGGTTTACAGCAATCTTGCTGGCACTTATGATGCCTTGGGCAGGTATTTTCCTTCTCTTATTTCATTACAATAGCATAAAGAATTAATGTTCTCTCTCCCTTTCCTTCTTTCGAGTATTTCTACAATGCAGTTGAGGACAGAATATGTAGAGTTCATCCAGTTACTGAAGCATTAGATATATAACCTTGTTCGACAGTTTGAGCCTAATCTTGAATAGAAGTCTAAAGAGCATTTGTGAATCTATCTACTCATTAGTTTCTTTTGCTTTTAGTTTTACATTTTTGTTATAATCTCTCGAGCCTCGTGATTTACATTTTATGCAGGACTAATGATGCAGTCGAAATTTTGGAATATGTCGTCGGGATGAGAGAGGAGAAGCTTGGAACAGCAAATCCTGATGTGGATGATGAGAGAAGGAGATTGGCAGAGTTATTAAAAGAAGCAGGCAGGGCCAGGAAGAGACAATCCAGATCACTAGAAACCCTCCTTGACAACAATTCTCGTACCATCAGAAAGGGTGATATTAAGGTACTTTGATGCCATTGATGATTTTCTTCCATAAATTGTAAAAGTTTTCATTACACAAATGTTTAGGTGGTGGGTTGCTTGCTTAGATTCTGTTTCGCAAAGTTAAGGAGAAAATTAAATAATAATTCTGATCAGAAAGAGGGGTAAGGCTACGTGCATATGACCCTCCCCAGACCCTGACGTCAGAAAGAGAGGAGGATACTGGTTCTGATGGTCAACTATTTTGGGGGATTTGAGAAGAAAATGGCACATCTGTCATTGTTTGAGTTGATGAACTTCCTCTGTCAATATGTTCTTTGTTTATCTTCTGGTTTAATAAAGTAATGGTGGAATTTCTTTTTCCTTTGTAGTTGCACCAAACTTGTCTTTAAGAAAACTTCAGTTGTGAGTTCTTAAGTTTAAACTACTTGATTAATATGTCTTAGCTGACAGTAATAAGAGTTTGTTGAGATTGAGGAAGATCTGTTTCTATTGCTAGATACATAATATTGGAATAAAATTAGGAGGCAAATGCGTAATATTCTTATATCGATTTTAAATTAATGCAACTCAAGTTACTTCATACTTATTCATATATGACACTAGCTCATGATCTACTTCAATACTAAATTGTTTTGATGTTGGTTGACATACCATGAATCCAATCAAATTAAAAATTTGATAAATTAATATCGGAAAAAAGAATATCTTAGCAAGTCGATTTTTAATCAAATGAAAAGTCACTAAAGCTCATTGGGGCCAGCTTGATGGGTAGTCCTCCAAAGATTTATGCTTGGTGCAGTACGATTGAAAAATAGAAGGGTGCAAAATTAGAGGAATAGATAAAACATTATGTTTGGTAAGAAATGAAAATAGGAAGAATGAAAAAGTTGATAGATTAATTTTCCTTCCAATTCACCAAAATCAATCCCTTCAAAATTGGGAGAAAAAGTGGATGAAAAATTAATTATGTGTGCCGAAATGTTTGTTATTTACTTATATAACCTTTACTATGTGCATATATCATATTTACCTATTATATATTGTGTATACATTAATTTCATATATAGATATAATGCTAAGATATGTATCGATTATTCTTCCTATTTTCCATCCATCCATCCTACCAAACACAAAAGAGGGAAGCAAGAATTTATCCTTGAATGATAGAAAGAGTATCACTTTCAATTTCCATCATTCCGTTTTTTTTTCAAACAGAAAGTATATCACTATTACTTTGACGGATATAAATACTGTGGGGTTTTATTGTCAAGTATGCGAGCAAACACGGTCATTAATTGGTGAAATGTCCATCACTACAGTGACTTTTCCGGTTAAACGAAACAACTTAAAATATAATTAATCAGTACACAAAAGCCATCAATTTATGGTAAAATTGGCAAATCCATAGGCAAATGGATGATAATTTTTGACAGATTTTGCGTTGTCACTAAGCATTCTTAGGATTTTGACAAGCCTCTCTGATTGAAATTGGGAGATCAGACAATGAGCCATTGAGAATGACTTCTGCAATCAATAGGTTGGCCGCCTGAGAGTAGTGTATGCCATCCCAGCTTATATATCTTGATGGGTTATGACATGGTAGCCCATAGATGGTACCATTCACCTTCGCTGTTTTACCACAATCGATGTATTCACCGTAATAACTGCCACAACAGAACTCCATTGGATTTTCAAAACCTGCTACCACATAATTACAGTGCAAGAACAGTTAGATATGCACCCAAAGCAAGTTCCTTAAAGGAAAAATATGCAAAACAGGGGTGCATTGGTTGGGTAGGTTGACAAGTCTAACACAAATATAATCCAAATTATAAGACTCTTAATCTAAATAACGTAATCCAAGTTTAAATTTTAATTCGACTCCAGTTCGTGGGTTAAAAAATGGGATTCAAGTTGGATTGATATCAAATTTGATTATATGAATACTTAATTTAGACTAGGTTAAATTCAGGTTTAATTTGGATCGAACACAAATTCAATAATTCGTGGAGGGTTAAAATTGAATCTTGAATACTCACGACCACAACCAAAATATTGCCAAAATTTAAAATGATTTGAAGATATTTGACCTAAGCCCAATTTTTTTGATTATAGAGTGTTTAGATTTATGTCGACTACTCTCTCGAGTTCTAAACTGACTACCGTAACTTGATTTAGTTTAAGGATATGTTCCCGAGAAGTAAGGTGACTGACCCATAAGGGGTGTAAGAAATATTGAACCTAAGAAATCTTATTTACAAGAGAAAAGACTTAAGCGCTAAACCACCCCTAAGGGATTACCAAGCCCAACCTGAGTGTTGAAATCTCTATCCAAAGACTAAATAGTTTCTGGTGAATCGGATTAACCTGTCCAAATTGCATCCTTATTGCAACATATATACTCAATAATATATACTTGGTAAGTGTAACAGAAGCTTACCTTGGTTCTTTGCATTGCTTATTAGGGTGTATTTAGCTGAATACACATCAACATATGTGAATGCTGCATGTGGGAGCTGTGCCCTTAGCTGTGACACCCTGTCCTTTAGCTGCCTATTGAACTCCTGAGCCACCTCATTCTGTGACACCACGCACCCATTGCCGTCCAAATTGCCAGGCTTCGGCTGGTAGTATATCTCATTGTATGGTAGGCACCCTATTGGACCAGTGTTGTGCACCCAGAAAACTCTTGCCCCTTTTTTGTATAGTTGCTGAAACATGAACCACAATATGGGTCATTTGTGTCGTGTCAATTTGTGTTCAATACATATCTAATCAGTGTTATGCACCCAGAAAACTCAACCCCTTCATTGTATAGTTGTTGGAACATAGATCACAATGGGATTTTAGTTCCAATTCGATCAGCCTCAGATGGCACGGAATATGGAACTAATTGTTGTCAATGAGTTTTGTTGTATCATGTTTGCAAGTTATGACGTGTCAAAATTTATTTAATTCACATGCGATTCGTTTGTAACTATGCATAGTCGAATTCGTGTCTGTATAGTGCCGAATAAGGCACTATTCTATTCCAGACTCAAAATCCATAGAAGCCTCTAAAAGAGAGAAAATAGGGAGGCCTATACCATACATCCTGCTGTCTCAAGACAATTGCTCTGGTCATGTGGTTGAGGTACAAGATTCGAGTACTTGTAGATTGACTTTGTGAGTAGTGAATTGTTACCTGTACTGCTTGAGCAAACTCATCCAGGATAGTAGGAATGGAAGCTCGGGTATGAGCCTCATTTGTATGCTCGAAACCATAGGCAAGATCATTCTGTCCAATGTCAAATGTGTATAGAGCCTTTGAGAAGTCTCGAGGCCTCGGTAGATTACTGTGGTCACCAAGTTGCTTATAAAGAGCAGTGGTCCGAGACTTGAACTGTATGAATTGAGAAATCTGGATGTCTAGGTGGATGGGGCTGTAGCCACCGGGTAGGATCGACGAGCCTCCGGTCGCAAAATTAGCACCATGCCTGAAATTGGTTCCGATTGAGTCCAGATACGCACTCAGGTATGGCAACCCCAAGTTCTCAACTGCATGGCGCAAGAAAATTTGTTGGAGAACTAAAAAATGCGATCATGCCAAAGTGCTAATTCAAACCCAAGGTATAATTCAAGTAATAAAAGAGACGAGTTGTAAAACATATGTCTTGAATTTGAATTTTGATAATTTTTTAGATCAGGTCATCTCGGGATGACCAGCCTTTGACCGAACTAAGAAAAAGATTAATCGAAGTATGCGTAAACTGGCCTAATCATCCCTGACCATTGAACCAAAAAAAAAAAGAATGTACTAGTTCACAACATCAATGTGCAATTAACTGTTAACAGTGACGAGAAACTTTGTTCATCAAGCTGCTTCGATTGTTTGAAAGCAGACCTTGATTAAATTTAAGAGAAAGAGGAATTCGCTTAGCCCGCCTCTAGCTCGTAATGACAAGTTTTTGATTCTCATGCCCTTGACATAATCATAAAATTGTTCTTTTATGACATTTGTCATGAGTTTAATTTACTCGCGAAAGAATTTTTTTGTTTATAAAGAAGTACCATAAACTTCTCACCTTCCCAAATTTCATAAGTCCGTACATTAAACTAACTCTTTTTTGAGCTGCCGACTATTGGCTTCTGAACCTTGTAGCTAGTAAAAGCATGCACCAAATGAGTTCTTCATGAATTACAGTTCACATTGGTGCACGTGGATGCAACTGTGCTACTACTAAGATTATACTTATTATCTTTTAAATCGTCCCCGGTGTACAATACTCAGAATTATAAAAAAATAAAGTGTATAATAATCGAATTTATAACGTTTCTATTAAACTCTAATTTTAAATTTTATCGATGTTGATTGCTGAATTAAAACCAAAATGTATCGCTCGGGTTAATATTCACCTTACATATCACGTAAAATCATTAATCATACTCTTTTTTAGAGAAAATAAAAAAATTCACCTTCGTACCTATCAAATCTATGATGAGACGACCATCACAGAACCTCCCAGAAGGCTTGCCAAAGAAAGTTTCACCATTAGGTGGAGGCACCTCATCCAGGGCAGCTGATAGTCCTCCGGTGTCGGAATTTGAGTCGCCGAAGTTGTATACCGCGGGGAAACCACACTTCCTTAAACCACCACCAAGTTGACTGGCTTCTATACCAGCCAATACGAAAAAGAGTATCCCAAAGACACAAATTGCCTTCCCAGACTCCATGGTTTTGCTTAAAAGCACCTTTGTGAAAGTTCAGACAATGAAAGAACATACAAATGACTACTAGGTTACTGTGTAAGGGGTTAAGATTGCGACTGATTGGCTACGTATATGGAGACAAAAACCTTGATGTGAAAGGAGGAATCATATGCAACTGTCTAGGCCCACTGTGTCCTCACTCCCTTAACCTTTTCGAGGACATTGAGGACCATATTTGGATAGCATGATAAGATTTTCTAGAATTACTGGAGGATTCAATTTGGACTCTATAGTAACGAGAATCTTAATTATTCTAACTGACATGTGGTTCCTGCCTGATTATGTAGATTAACAATCCACGTTATATCACCTGTCTGTTTAGTCCAAGAAGAGAACAGAAAAAGAAAAACAACCTAAGAAAAATTCCAAATTTGAGCTCAGACGCTGAGATTAGGAGAGGAGCTCAACCAAGAAAGCTTGAGCTCAGAGGTTCAGATCCGGGGTACCCTAGACCTGTACCCTGAAGAAAATAGGTGGAAGACAGCTAGCAACCGGGAAGTGCCCCCTCCCTCAACGGCCATAAGTGCCAGTGTAGGCACAAGATTCTCAATTGGCCAAACCATCGTCTAAAATCAAGAGGGATATAACGAAAGGAAGGCGAAGATCTCGCCTCGGACCCCTTAGAACTAGAAACTAGGCTATAAATACTGGGCAAAGCCCTCACTTAGGTGGAGGGAGAGAAAACCAGACAACCAAAAAATTGAACCAAGAGTACTGTGTCATCCTCTTAGAGTCATTAATAAAGATCACAAGAGAAAGAGACTCTATTAAAGAGTGGATTAGCTGAGCTCTCAAACTAGTGAACACCTATAATTCTTCTGTGCAATCCATTCTTCATTCCCGATTTACCTCACTATTCCCAAGAGCCTCGTAGCTCAAATCAAACCCAATAGCACACGAAATCTGCTCAATCACGGTTCACACACCATCAGTTTGGTGCTGCCTGTGGGAACGATTGTTCCTATCACAAATACACTGATATCTTTCAATAATTGATGGTCTCTACACACAACATGAGCAGAAGTCAGATGAATCCCCAACGGGTGCAGAACCAGTAGGAAGCCACCAGCGGAAGGCAACAAGAAAACCTTCAAGACTTCTTTCCCACCACAAAGACCAATCCTCCCATGGTGGAGCCCCCTGCGAATAATGAACTGGAGGCTCTCTGCCTAGTCAACCAATGTCTATTACAACAGAATGATGAGCTCTTGAAGCTCTTACAACGTCCTCAGAAGGCGCGACCAGCCCAGGATAATCCCAATGATCCCCCACAAGGGGAACATCAACGTCTCAATCCCCTAAGGGAGACTAACGAGGGGTGAAAATATCCATTCTCCACATCCACCCCCTAAGAATGGTGACAACGAAGCAGTGCAAAGCCATATGGGAATTGAGAAAAACAAGTTTCTCCATTTCCCGCAGGAAGGAAGAGAACAGTATTGGGGACAATGTTTCAAAGATATCCAGCAGGAGCTCATCCACATGAAGGAAGCTATGAGAGGCAAGACCCCAGTAACTATGGATGCCTTGGTCTAGCAGACTGAGTCCCCTTTTACTATAGATGTGCTACACTTCTCCCTCCCTTCGAAGTTTAGAATACCCCAAATGGAGGCTTTTGATGGGACTAAAGATCTCATGGATCACCTCAACACCTACAAGAACCAAATGGAGTTGCACGGGTATCAAGATCCTGTGCCATGTCGCGCCTTCGCTATTACGTTAAAAGACTTAGCCCTTAGCATGGTTCAACAGGCTAGCCTCGACGTCTATCTCCTCCTTCAAGGAGCTCTCTGTATCCTTTGTGTCACACTTCATAGGAGCCCAGACCTATCAAAAACTAAGCTATCACCTGTTGAATGTGAAACAAGGCCCCAACAAGAACCTACGATTTTATGTCTAGAGGTTTAACTCGGAATCGTTGAAAGTTGACGTCCCGGATGAAAAATTCGCCATCATGGCTTTCATTACCAGGTTAGGAGTGCAATCGAAGGACTTTATGTTCTCTATATCAAAAAAACTCACAAACAAGCATGACAGAGGTGTTAGTCAAGACAGAAAAGTATATTAATGGCGACGAAGCTCTCCTTTCTAAGGTAGGGAGCTCATCCACACAGAAGGAGAAAGAGAAGGAAGAGAGGAAGAGGGACCGAAGTCCTAGACAAGAAAAAAGACGAGATAGGTCTCCAATAAGAGACAGAGATCGCTCCCCCAAAAGGAGGGGAGATGTCAAGGATCGCCTAAGGCTTCCACAATCAGAATTACAGCTGAGGTATGCACCCCGACAGCTCACCCCACCCACAACTATGGTGTCCCAGATCCTTTACGAGGTACAAAATGAGAAATTCCTGAGGTGGCCTCCTCGGATGAAGGCGAACCCAACAAAAAGAGATTCGACAAAGTATTGCGAGTACCACAGAGAGCACGACCATCTCACAGATAATTGCATCCAGTTGAAGAAGGAAATCAAGTTTCTAATTCAGCGAGGGCAGTTGCGCCGCTTTGTGGCATGACAATCAGAACTGAGCTTCACCACCACCTCTTGCATCTCAGCAGCAAGTCCCTGCACAACATCAACAGCCTCTAAAGGATATCAAAGTGATATCCATAAGATTCGCAGGAGCGAGGAATCCAGCTCAGCCAAGAAGGCTCACCTACACAAAATCATAACTGACGAGATACTAGAAGTGCATATTGTGTCCAAGACACCTTGGCTAAACACGAATATCACTTTTTCAGACTCAGACTTGGAAGACTACTAGCATCCCCATGATGACCCCCTGGTGGTAAGAGTTATTGTCGCAAACAGAACCATCCATAGAGTCCTGATTGACAATGAGAGCTCTGTTGAGATCATCTTTGCGTTTGCCTTCGACAAGATGGATATAGGTAGAGACAAACTTGAGCCAGTAAGCGCTCACCTATTAGGGTTCTCAGGAGAAAAGGTGTTGACTCTGGGGTCAATCCAATTTCTGCTCACTATGAGGGATCCTCCTTGTCAGACCCTCACCACTGTGAAGTTCCTAGTGGTCGATGCACCTTTAGCATACAACATCTTGCTTGGAAGACATTCCCTCAATGCCATGAGGGTCATTCCTTCTGCCTACCATTTTGTCATGAAGTTCCCTACGGAAAACAGAATTAGAGTGGTCTGAGGAGACCAGCGTGTGGCACGAGAGTGCTACGTGGCATCCGTGAAAAAGAAAGAGGTCAAAAACATCCAACTGGACAAGCTTGACATGAGGGACGAGTTGAAAACTAGGCCAACGCCATCAGAAGAGCTGGAGCCTATCTAGCTTGACGAAAAATCGAAGCACTTGGTATACGTGGGATCTAAGCTAAACAAGAGAATTAAAACCTTATGATCCAATTTCTTAGAAGAAATATATAAGTTTTTGCCTAAAAACAAGAAGATATGAAAAGAATTGACCCCTCAGTTATCACACACAAGCTCAGTGTGAATCCTGTCTGTAAATCCATCAAATAGAAACGAATGAGTTTTGCCCCAGAATGCCAAAAGGCAATCAATGAAGAAGTCAGCAAACTTCTTCATGCTAAAGTCATTAAGGAGGTAGATTACCCAACTTGGCTAGCAAACGTGGTCCTCGTCAAAAAAACCAATGGCAAGTGACGTCTCTGCATCAATTTTATCAATCTCAATCGAGCTTGCCCTAAGGACAACTTCTCTTTACCACAGATTGACCTAATTGTGAATGCCACAACTGGGCACGAGCTCCTCAGCTTTATAGATGTTTTCTCTGGGTACAACCAAATCAGAATGGATCCTAATGACCAAGAGAAGACCTCCTTCGTGACTAAGCAGGGGACATACTGCTACCAGGTTATGCCCTTTGGATTGAAGAATGTTGGAGCCACCTACCAGCGCTTGGTAAACCAAATGTTTTAAAAGCAGATTAGAACATTAATGGAGGTATACATTAATGACATGCTGGTAAAATCACTGAAAACCAAGCTCCACATCGGACATCTTGAAGAATCGTTCTAGGTCCTTAAGAAATACCAAATAAAGCTTAACCCTGTCAAGTGTGCCTTTGGGGTCTCTGCAGAAAAATTCTTGGGCTTACCATATTGGAGCTCGAGCTCTGGCACGAAAGGCACTAAGGCAGGGATATTTCTGGCCCATTATGCTCAAAGACGCCACAGACAAAAAATGTAAGGTCTGCCAGGTACACGCCAACATCCCCCATTTTCCACCAGAGCTCCTAACCTTGGTGATAAGCCCTTGGTCATTCCAACAATATGGTCTAGACATACTTGGGCCCCTTACCACTAATACTGGACAATGTAAGTTCGTCATTGTTGAGGTGGATTACTTCACAAAAATGGGCAGAGGTGGAGCCCTTGGCAATAATCACAAAATAGAAGGTTCAAAACTTCACGTGCAAATCTATAATGTGCAGGTTTGGGATTTCCAGAGCAATTGTCTCCGACAATGGGAAACAATTCTACAATCCCAAGTTCAAAAAGTTCTGTGCTAAATTAGGAATAAAGAATTACTTCTCAGCTCCAGCTCATCCATAATCCAATGGACAAGTAGAGGTAACCATCCAAACCATAAAGGCAACTCTGAAGACTAAGCTAGAAGCTCTGAAAGGGAAATGGGTAGAATACATCCCAGAAGTATTGTGGGCTTACAGAACCACAGCCAGATCAGCAACTCAGGAGAAACCATTTGCCTTGGCATTTGGGACAGAAGCAGTGGCACTTGTGGAGGTTGGTATACTTTCCCCCAAGGCTGATTTCTTAGAACCCGAACACAACGACGAGTCACTCTTGTTAAATCTAGACCTCTTGGAAGAAAAAAGAGACAAGGCCCTACATCGCATCGTGAGTTATCAAAAAAAAATAACAAGGTATTACAACAAAAAGGTTAGACATAGAAGCGTTAAAGTTAGAGATCTGGTACTCAGAAAACTCCTTCTAGCGTGGAAGAATCCCACTCATGGAAATCTAGGACCTGACTAGGAAGGACCATATATCATTTCGAGGGTAATCAGGCCTAGAAACTACGAATTACAAATAGAGGAGGGACAAACTTTGCCCCACTCTTGGAATGCAGAACATTTGAAAAGATTTTTGCACTAAATTCTTGTAAGAAGGCTATTCTCAATAAAATAACGAGTTTTAGCTCGTCCCAGAGAGATTCCAATAAAAGCTATAAAGCTAATGATCAATTTTTCAACTCATAAATTAAAGATGAGCTTCGTAGCTCATAAATAAATGATGAGTTCTTCGGCTCATAAATTAAAGATGAGCTCCGTAACTCATAAATAAACGATGAGCTTCCCAACTTATAAATTAAAGATAAGTTCTTCAGCTCATAAAACAAAAGATGAAATTTTCTGCTCATAAATTAAAAATGAGTTCTTCAGCTCATAAAACAAAAGATGAGTTTTCTAGCTCATAAATTAAAGATGAGGTCTTCAGATCATGAAACAAAAGATGACTTTTTTAGCTCATAAATAAACGATGAGCTCTTTAGCTCATAAATTGATGATGAGCTCTTCAACTCATACATTTACGATGAGCTCTTCAGCTCATGAATCCACGGTAACTAGATTTCGTGAGATGAATCCATTGGTAAGGTTCGTTTCATCATCCGAGGTCTATAAAAATACCAGTTTTTAACCCGCACTATAATGAAAAATTATCATTTTGCCCTTTTTTTAGAAAAAGTTAAAATTTTTCTCGGGTTTCACACTACATGAGAGGACACAGTGATCTCACCACACCTCTCTACACACTTTCTCTCTGCTAGTTATTGT